ACCCCAAAACCCCAAAACCCCAAAAGTAATTATATGAGTGGATAATAGATAATTAAGAATCAAATTAATAGAAATTAATTTATAATAATCTATTAAGACACATTAAAGCTTAGTTAATAAATGTCTCAATTTCTCAGATCTAGTTCGATTCATGAAATTTTGGCTTTCTTTGGAGATCTGGAGAAGACTCGTTTGCAATCGATAAGCAGGATGTTCTATGATAAAATTATACCTAGTTCTCTCTAGTAATGCTTTCTCAGCTTATTGACGAAGGACAAATTTTTCTCATATTCAAAAGAATAAGGGGACATTCTGTATTATTACGACATTCCTACTAGAACATGGATTGATGTGAAAGCTGCAAATCACTAAGAACATTATATTTATTACTCAATGTCAGCTGTTGTGACAGATCTAAATAGAGTCTTATTGATAGGAGGTAGCTTCGATCCTGAGTTTGAATAGTATACAGATGCAGTATACGATTGGAACTAGATTACAAACCGAATTCAACCTTTATCTAATGTGCCTTTCGTCTCATTTGACAATGGTTTCTTTTACTATAGAGGTTATGTTTATATAATTGAAGGTCATGTTGATTTGTTTAACTAATCAACTGTAAGGAAAACTGCACGGTTTAATGTCCTTGGGAACTATTGGTAAACTCTTCCGAGCTTAAATCACGCTAATGGCAAATTTAATATGTGTGCTTTTAAAAATGGGTTTATTTATGCTTTTTGTGAGCAGATGAGCAGTTTTTACAGATTGAATTCCAATTTGCTTGGATTCGAGAGATCGACTAACTGGGATTTGCAATATATCTAGTGGGAAAGAATTTTGATAAAGCCTTCAGTCTACTTTGGTTTTAAAATGGCTGTATTTGGCTTGAATGATAATTAGATATTACTTTTTGGAGGAGATGATGAATTTAACAATTAAATTACTCACTCTCCTATCTCAAAAGAATTTAGTGATGCAAATGCGTTAAAAATACTTGATTTAACTGATTTAAGTCTTCATAAAATAGTTGATGATGCTAACTAAGATTTAAAAATAGAATTACCAGATATGTTTTACTTTAACTAATTATCTGAATACAATGGCAAAATATATGCACTTGGAAAAGATCACATTCATATAATTAACTTAAGTAAGAAAGAGATTGAAATTATTAAAGATGATGGTGATTATAATGAAGAAGATTATTGATGGAGTTAAATTATTTAATTAGTAGTCTATCCACTTAAATAAATTTATTTATACAATTCATATTTTATTCTCAGTATTTGATGCCGGGGTTTTGGGGTTTTGGGGTTTTGGGGTTTTGGGG